AGGCCCGAAACATCAGCCTTCCTGCTCCTCTGATGCTGCTTGGCCTGCTGTGTTCATCAGCTCTACACCTTGTTATCCATGGGTTCTTGTGGTGTAGAGGTCTTATTCCTACCCTTGAGCTAGTAAGCCCAGGTTCAAGTCCAACATGCTCTAGACATATGTTGTAACCCTCTGAAAAGGTTAAATTAAAATACCAGTCACAGCCATGTGACCATGAGAAAGTGAAATGGAAGCCAAGTGCTATGGTTAATATTACAAAGCAAACCCAGGGATACGTCTGCAGAACTGTCTGTCCTGGTTTGGGACTAGTCTATATATGCCACAAGTAGTGTTTCTGTTTTAGTGTTCAGTAATAAGAGATGTTTTTCTCCACTGCCATTGAAATTGACAGAAGGTAAAATTGTGGGAGGCAAGGTTAAGTTTACCTTTCTAATATGATTAATAGAATAAGAACTCAGGACAATTACTGTGACAGCAGTATCAAACAGACACCAGCATCAAAATGTCCTAGATTTTGCAGTCATGGGGAAATAAACTCTGTTCAGTCTTCATCTCAGTTCCAGAGAGTTTTTGCACTGAATCTTGTGGCAGTTAGGTGTAAGGAGCAACAAAGGGAAAGTATTCCTGGATGTGTTCGGGATAGTTTCTATTGCAATGTGTGCCTAGTCCAACAAAGAAGGGTGCATTTTGGACTGAGTCCTTGAAAATGAGGTGGACTAACTGGATCAGTTGTCAGTGGGAAAACATATAAGAAACAGTGGTCATTGTATCATAAGGTGGAGCATAGTGTTGGAGAATGACATGCTACAATCCAGGCAAAAAAAGTCAATTGACAGACAGATAACTCTAATTAAACAAGACCAGAGTTGAGGGGGTTTGATTCAAATAAAAGGTTGGCAGGAAAAACAGTAAGTAAACAATGTGCCACCTTCAACAAGCAGATGGTTCGGACTGCAGTCAAGATATATTCCCTTTAATGGAAAAAGGTAGGACAAACAAATTCAGAGTCCCCTATGACAGACAAGGTTTCAGTTAACCGAAGAAAGAAAAAGTGTGCTTATGGACAGGGATTGTCTAATTAGATTAGACTCAGGATCAATCTGATGAGCTCTCTATCAACTTATTTCCTTAGCTGACAGGGAAGAAATGACCCACGTCACTGGCACTCAGAGGACTGCCAGAGACCAGTCACCTTCTCAGCCCCAGACACAAGATAGTGCCATGGTCATAGCCATTAATGCCTTCATCAAAATGCACAGACAGAACAGGAGCAACAGGCAGGTTTGTCAGAGGCAGTCAGGAATCTGAATCAAAGGATGGAGGAGTCCACCAACATTATCAGCACCATAGTTGCTCCAGCATACAATGTCTGGCTGCCTCCAGATGGTAATTGAAATAACTCCAAGGAGGCAGGTAATCTGTCACCAAGTCACCTTTTATTTACACGTGTATGGTACACAGACTCTGACTAGCTTACTCAGAGCCAGTCCCTTGAATGAGGAGACTCTCTGAATCTCCTGTTTATATCTGTCCCCCAGGGCTCCCTGATTAACAGATTCACAGCCTCAATCAAGAATCTCATAATAAATTAGATCTATGTGGCCTTCCTTGCAATCACTACAGTAATCTTCATGGAAACCCAGGTCTAGAACACTCAGTGTCTGCAGGGTATGTTCATGGACCTACATTCTATTGAGGTAGCCATTGTGTAAGACAGGGATAAGGCAGAAAATACGGATGAGGTCTAATGCAAAGAACAGTGAGGTGATGCACTTGGTTGGAAGAACATTGAAGGGCAATATAAAATAGAAGTATAATTCTAAAGGCCATTGAAGTTGGCATTACAGGCAGAGGAAGCAATTATCAATGCTTCTTTAACAGGGGCATAGAGTGCAAGAGCAAGAGTGTGATGTTGAATTTTTACAAGAACTCAGCTGGAGAACCATCTAGATTTGTGGCACCACATTATAGGAAAGATGTGAATACATTGGAGAGAGTACAGAAGTGATTTACAAGAATGGTTCGACGAATGAAAAACTTCAGTTATGAGGATAGATTGAAGAAGTTGCAACTGTTCTCCTTGGAGAGAAAAAGGTGGAGAGGAGATTTGTTAGAAGTTTTCAAAGTAACATGCGGCTGGGCAGAGTAGATAGGGAGAAGCTGTGATTGCCTGTAAAACAAAAGAATGAGATTGTATAGATTTAAAGTGATCTGCAAACAAATCAGGGGTGATGTGGGAAAAAACGTTTTCATTCATTGAGTAGTTAGGGTATGGAATGCACTTCCTGGAATATGGTGGAGGCAGGTTCAATTGAGACACTCAAGAGAGCAATGAATGATTATTAGGATAGAAATTATGTGTAGGGATATGGGGAAAAGTTAAAAGATTGGCAATTGGTGACAGAACCGGTCCAGTCATGATAAGCTGGATGGCTTTCTTCTGTGCCGTAAAACTTCTATGATTCAGACATCAAGTAGAAACAAAAAACCATGAGAGCTTTTACAGGAGAAGTAGGAACAGTGGAAACAGGGCATGTTGCTGTGTATGTCCTCAGACAATCATATTGAAGAATATTTACTGAGACCTGCTTAGAAGTAACATTTCAGTCCCACTAATTAAAAATTATCACAGTTAAAATGTAAAAAAAAATTGCTCTTGAATGAAAAACCATAAATTTCTCTGGTTTAGTAGGTATTTATCACATAACTATCTCACAGTTTTGCTCTTCCATGTATTTCAATGCCATATCTTTTGACCAGATACTATGAGAGCATGGACAATGGAAGAGCAAGCCAAGTTAGCCCATAACTTCTTGATAACTGTGTTTAACCATGAATATGTGGATGTCAGAAATCAGAGTGTAGCCTTGTAAAGCCCAAGAATTAGGGAAGGTCATTAGACTTTTGCCAATCAATGAGAAAAATTAAAGAAATAAATATAATTTAGAGGTGATATAAGTAAAGAAAATTTAGAACTAGTTATTCAGAATGTTTGAATGCAAAATGATGAAAATAAATACATAAATGATTACACATCATTTTATTCACAGTTATCACTCCACACCATTTGTTAGGTACATTGTTACAATGACAAGTTACTTCATTAATTAATATATAAAAGTATTTGATGATAACGTGTCCTGTTATATACAGAAATTTATAAAAAATACATTTCCTGTTACACCTCCAGTATACAGTCATGCAAGTGGTATTCATTTTTAATTAAAAATGTAAGAAACTACTGTATTGATCTTGATTAAATTGAGATAATTAGTCTAATCTTCAATTATGCTGCAGCAGATGTGTCTTTCATTATGATGCCTCGTAGTGCTTACACTTGCATTCTGCTAAATGAAAGATAGGAGCAGGGTTCCTGCAATCTCTGACATTGTGCAATCAGTGCAGCCCAGTGTCATCCAGTAGAGGGAGTTTACAGCTCGACTAGTGAATATTAGGGTGGGGACTTAACATCCTCAACAGGTCTTATTGAGGTTGTCAGTTGAACATCCAACATTTTCATGAAGATTTTCATAATGCATATGTTTGACACGTTACAGCAGCATTAAGCACTTTAGCCTCAAACTCTAGTGGCAAAGAATTTTAAGGTTTCTGCAAAGCAGTTAGTGGCTGACGTGATAAGTGAAAATGTTCACTTCATCCATTTTTTCTGTGAGATTGTGTTAATTAGTGCTGGAAACTCAATATTAAAGGAGTGCACAGAATATTCTTAGACAGGAGTAATTCAATAGGCAAAGGTCTCTTCTAAAATGTTTACAAAATGTTTAACTCCTCAGTATAGAAACACTTTATTTTACACAGGAAAATCTTGTATGGAAATAATCTGCTGCCAGTGTTGCAGTATACTAGTGGGTTACAATTTAGTTGTAAGCATGTGAGCAGTTGTAGTGACAAACACAGGAAATAATGAACATCATTTGCTGTTTTACAATCCTTCCATGATTACACCTGAACTCAACCACCTCCGTTCTAGTTCTATGTGGAGTGCAGCAACGTCTGTCAGAGCATGAGCCACAGTATCTGGGTCTGTAAGCTTTAACACTTGTGCAATTGTTGTATTCAAACTGAATGGGATGAGGTGCCCTTGTTGTTGGCCTGCAAATCTTCCTTCTCTGAAAAAAAAGACATGTTGTATTAAATAAAACTGAACACAACAATGAGCAAAGATGCAGCTAGAAAATATATCCAAATTGTGGTTTGTTACTTCATTTTACTGTGCAATACGAGTAATTTTTGCAATTGCAATGGAATAAAATAATCACTATAATTGATCAGATCTTAATTGGAAAATATTCCTTCATCTTCACATATGATAGCATATTCCACAAAGTGCAGCATTGTAAAAGACAATCCAAAGCTTTACAATGACTGTCCATCCGCTAGAAAGGTCGCAACATTATGGTCAGCAGCAAATGAAACGCACTATAGTGTCATTCATTACACTCACTGATTTTCCATGGGGCTTTGCGCTGGAACTTCCAGTTTCAATCTTTTCAATCTAACAGCAGTCAGAGTATGTCTTGTATAGAGATAACAAGGTGTAGAGCTGGATGAACACAGTGGGCCAAGCAGCATCAGAGGAGCAAGAAAGCTGACGTTTCAGGCCTAGACCCTTCTTCAGAAAATCTTCAGTATCTCTTGTAATGGTTTTGTTTCCCATTCTTGTGTTATAGTCTCAATTTGTCCCCCAAGGATCTATACTTGGCTGTACTTTTGTATCTTACCTCTCGGCAAGAGTAACTAAAGTCCAAGTGTTAAGTTTCACAGATACAGTAACCATACCTAAATCCACCTCACCACTACCTCTCTCAACATCTCTATTATCATTTAATTATCAGTCTGCTTACCACACATTTGGTGCTGGATGAACAGAAATTGCCTCCAATTAAATATTATGAAGTCATGAACTTTTGGTCACTGTTCAAGCTCCATTCCCTACCTATCATCTCCATTCCTTTCCCTGACAATAGTCTGACGATTTATGTTTCTAACCTTAGTTTCATATTTAACCGTGGCGTGAGGTTTCTATTGCATATCCACACCATTTCTAAGCCCATCTATTTCTGTCTCTAACATTGCCTGACTTGGTATCAGCATCAGTTTATCTGCTGCTGAAATCCTTATTCATCCCCTTGTTGCCACTAGTAACAAGTCAAATATACTCCTGTAGGGTCTCCTACATTCTATCTCTGGAAACTTTAGATCATCCAAAACTTTGTTCCCATCGCCCCTGAGCTCACTGAGCTCCATCGGTTCCCAAATCAACAATGGTTCAATTTTAAAATTTTCATTCTTGTTTTTAAATCCATCCATGGTCCTGCACCTCCCTATCTTTGTAATTTTTTCTAGTCCTATAACTGTCTGAGATATCCATACTCATCCAATCCCAACCTCTTGAGGATCCTTGATTTTGGTGGTTGTGTCTTTAGCCACTTAGGTCCTGAGTTCTGCAATTCCATCCCTCAACCTCTCTGATTCATTAACAACAAAAACAGAAGTTTCTGGAAAAGCTCAACAGGTCTGGCAGGATCTGTGAAGAAAAAATCAGAGTTAACATTTCAGGTCCAGTGACCCTTCCTCAGAACCGGACCCTCTCTGATTCATTCTTTATCTTTCTTCCCTTGGGATGCTCCTTAAATCTTGCTTCTCTGACCAAGATTTTGGACATCTTTTCTAATGTCACCTTATGTGGATCAGTGTCTAATTTTGCTTTTCATTGCTTGTTGAAATGTGTTGCGATGTTTTATTACATCAAAGTGTCATATTAAATAAATAATATTTGCCACTGTAGAAACCTGCAATTATTACAGATCCAAAAAAACACATTGCCACTACAGATCCAAAAATACAGAGCCGCTACAGAGGATCTGCGACTCGTGCAATAAAACCAAGCAACAAAATAGTCCCTTAATTAATCAGACTGAAGAATCTTTACTGAGGCTCTCCCAATCTTAACCAGGAAGTGTATGTCGTAAAAATTAGTTCAATGTCAAATCAGGTATAGAATGGGAAAAAATAAAAAGGAAGAAAAGATTGAATTGAGATAGAGATAAAAGAGACAAAAGAAAACTTCTTTAAAAGTTAAATTTCTGACAATGATTAAAAAATGAAAAACTGGACTGTGCACTTGTAAAAGTTTATCTTCAATTCATAAGAGATTATTTGTCATCAAATTAAACCTATTATATCATTAAAAATTGTTTTGAACTTCAATGGACTTCTTTGTCATTTTGGGCACATCTATTACATAAATATCCCAATTATTTGGCCTCACATGTATTTCCATGTCGAGTCTCACAGCCAGATGCTGTTATAGTGTTGCTTCTGGTAGAGTAGAGCAACTCAGACAGCAAATTCCTGATTCCTATGTTTGAGTGTCCAGAGATTAATTCTCTGGGCTCTAATAACCTCACCATTATTTTTAATGTAAAATTCAGGCCATTGGCTTTAAGGTCTGCAATTGGAGACAGGGGTATCAGAGATGACCCAATGCTTTTCATTTCATGCTCACCATACATTCCAAAGATTGGTAGATTGTATCAAAAATATTTTCCATCAACTGTATGCAGCAAGTAAGGTTCTGACTATACCAGCCTGCACTTGCGAAATTTGTAACACAGTATCCTATATATATATATGTATATATATAATATATATATGATTTTTCCATTTGATAATATTTTTTGGATAATCCTGAGTGTGCCAAAATTTTTTATGACAACTAATTTAGGATGATCAGCCAGAGTTGTACTGTGGCACACTTCTGTGTACTGGAAGCTACATATATTAATACACAGGACTCTGTTCTTTGCAGACAGAAAGAGCATATAAACACATTGTACCTGTTTCAACTCAGTAAGATAGGTAACAGCCATTTGCTAGTTCATTCTGCAGGGCAATATCCTTGCTAATCAGAGTGAACCCACCTTGTTTAAAATTTAAACAGAGCCTAACAGTTAACAGTCAATCATCATTAATTGTTGTACTTTCCATGGCAAATGACTTGGAACCAATCAGCACTCTTCTCTCATATAGTATAAATTTTAACTTTCCCTTGAATTGGTACTCTTGTGAATCATCTTGCTAAGTACAAAACGTGTCTCTTTGCAGCAGCACTCAAATTTTAAGCTACCAAATGACTATAAGCTATATTTTTTCATTATTTTTAAAAGTGGACTTTGCTGGACTAAAATGGCTGCCACAGATCATATTATTTTCAAATTGGTTACAGCCTTAGAAACTTGAAACCATCATTACAAATCCTTGGTGTAATTTCTCACCTATTAATTGCATCGACCCTGTGGACACAGTGAGACAAAGAAAGCACAGACTCACAACACTCATTATACCTGCAAAAATGCCAACAGCTTCACCTTACTTTGAACATGAACAATGGATTTGACCAAAGATATGGAATATTGACTAGTTAAACAAAGTGACTCATTCCTGGACCACATCATGCGACCAAAACTTTTCTGGTCTTTGAAGAGCTTTTTAGCCGTACTTTTCTGGACTCTTGGCTTTGTCTGCTTTTAATATCGGATCTGAAAACAGTAAACAGCTGTCTTGTCTGGTAGCTAAGCCAGTCTGTAGTATAGATTCTCCTTCTCGAAAATCCTTGTATTCACCTAAAAGAGGACGGTATACATACTGTAGACAAACCCTGTTACATCATTCTGTCGCATGATCTCTAACTCTAAAGGAATTTTGCAACATCCTGTCTTCCGCCAACTGAACATGCCTCAACTTTACTCCTGAGTAAAGGAATCCTTAGTGATCTCAGATTCACAATAATTAATAGCTGCACTTTTGGATTTAATTTATTTCTAGTTATAAAGCTCTTTTCCTTTGCTGTTTCCTTCAGAGTTTGTGTGTGTGTGTGTGTGTGTGAGTGTGTGTGTAAAATAATGCTCTTGATTTATACTGAAGACAATTCGCTGCTATTCATTTGTAAAACTGTAACCTATTTAAAATTAACGTTCTGCTTACAGAGAGAAGGAGAGGACAATAACTATGTTCCATCTGATTCTCACCCTGTCCATAACATTATAATGTGCTTTATCAATAACAATGTTAATAACTGGTTAAAAAAAAACTTATTCACCATGTGAGTTTTATTTGCATAGTCCTGTTGGCATGGTCTCACTATACAAAGTTGGCTTTGTGTCTCCAAAATACAGCGGTCATTCTTGTTGGAAATTCGGGTAGACACTCCTATCCCACAGCTCCTGGAACAGGCACTCCACTCACTGCTTTGTTCTGGGCAGTTGTCAGGTACATTGGCAACATATCCTCCATACAATATCTCCGATCTGTATGCTGAAGATAAAATAAGCAATAGTCTTATTTGTTTCAAAGTTAGTCATAAAAGTGAACTGACAACTCATCTGTTTATATAGGCTATCAAAAATAAGAATATTGCATATTTATGTCTAGTTCTTTTACAAACCATTATGTTACCACGGTAGGAAAAAAATCAATAATTTGGGAAATCTTTACATCAGGAATTCTTAAAATTATTTATTCATGGTTTGTGGTCATTATTCATTATCAGGTGAAGTCACATCCTATGGGGATGAGCTGGCAAGATGAATACAGAACTGGCCAAGTCATAAGAGATAGAGGGTAATAGTGAAAGGATGCTTTTCAGAATAGAGGGCTATGACTATTGGTGTTCCACAGGATCAGTGCTGAGATCTCTGCTGTTCATGATATACATAAATGATTTGGAAGAAAACGTAGCTGGCCTAATTAGTAAGTTTACGGACAGTACAAAGATTGGTGGGAGTTGCAGATAGTGAGGAGGATTGTCAGAGGATTTAGCAGGATATAGATCAGTTGGAGGCAACGGCAGAAAAGCGAAGGATAGAGTTTAATCTGGACAAATGTGAGGTGATGTATTTTGGAAGGTCAAGTGCAGGTGGAAATTATATGGTGAATGACAGAAACCTTAGGTGTATTGATACACAGAGAGATCCTTGGGTGTGCAGGTCCACAGATCACTGAAGGTGGCAACACAGGTAACAGGTAGATAAGGTAGTAAAAAAGGCCAATGGCATGCTTGCCTTTATTGGAAGGGGCACTGAGTATAAGAACAGGCAAGGTATGCTGCAGCTTTATAGAACTTTAGTTAGGCCACACTTGGAATATTGCGTATAGTTCTGATCACCACACTACCAGAAAGATGTGGATGCTTTGGAGAGGGTTCAGCAAAGGTTTACCGGAATATTGCCTGGTATGGGGGATTTTAGCTATGAAGAAAAGTTGGATAGACTGGGTTTGTTTTCACTAGAATGCAGGAGGTTAAGGGGCGACCTGATAGAAGTTTATAAGATTCTGAATGGCATGGATAGAGTGGAAATTATGAGGCTTTTTGTGAGGGAGCAGGGATCAATTACTAGGGGACACAGGTTCGAGGTGGTGGGGGGTGGGGGAGGGGGCGGTAGTTTAAAACAGACGTGCAAGGCAAGTTTTTCACACAAAGGATGATGGGTGCCTGGAATTTGCTGCTAGTGGAGGTGGTGAAAGCAGGCGCAACATTCACGAAGCACCTGGACAAATACATGAATAGGAAGGGACTGGAGGATATGGATCCTGTAAGTGAAGACAGTTTTAATATGGAAGGGCAAAATGTATCGGTGCAGGCTTGGAGGGTCGAAGGGCCTGTTCCTGTGCTGTATTGTTCTTTGTTCTTCTTTGTATCCATCCCTAATTGCACTTGGGAAGGTGATAGCACATGCTTTCTTGAACTACTGCTTTGTAGTGAAGGGAAACAATGTGGTTAGGGAGGCAGTTCTGGGATTTTAACACAGCAACAAAGAAGAAACTGTAAAATAAAACAAAGAACTGTGGATGCTGGAAATCTGAAATAAGAACAGAAGTTGCTGGAGAAATTTGGTAGGTCTGGCAGCACTTATAATGAGAAAACAGGGTTAACATTTTGAGTCCAGTGACCCTTCTTCAGAACGGAAATAAAGAAGAAACAACAGTAAATTTCCAGGACAACAAGGTGCAGAGCTGGATGAACACAGCAGGCCAAGCAGCATCACAGGAGCAGAAAGGCTGATGTTTCGGGCCTAGACCCTTCTTCAGAAATGGGGGAGGGGAAGGGGGTTCTGAAATAAATAGGGAGAGAGGGGGAGGCGGATAGAAGATGGATAGAGAGGAAACAGACAGGTCGAAGAGGCGGGGATGGAGCCAGTAAAGGTGAGTGTAGGTGGGGAGTTAGGGAGGGGATAGGTCAGTCCAGGGAGGACGGACAGGTCAAGGGGGCGGGATGAGGTTAGGAGGTAGGAGATGGG